TCTTTCTTTATAGTTGAGTAATACTCCATTATATAAAAGTACCACATCTTTTTCAACCATTCCACATGTGATGGGCCTTTTGGTTGTTTTCAAGATCTGGCTATCACAAATTGTGCTGCTATAAACATAGGTATACATATATCACTATGATATGATGCTTTCAGTTCCTCTGGGAAAATTCCCAGTAGGGGGATAGCAGGCTTGAATGGAATTTCCAGTCCTAGTTTTTTAAGGAGTCTTCACACTGATTTGCATAATGGTTGCAGTAGTCTACACTCCCACCAACAGTGGAGAAGGGTTCCCTTTTCCCCACAGCCTCTCCAACATTTGTTGTTGGTTGATTTCTTTATGATAGCCATTCTTTCTGGGGTGTAGATGTATTTGGTATGTCTGCTCTAACACACAATACATGTATGGAATTACATTTATGGATCATAGATGTTAATAAATATAATTACATGTAAATACTTTTGTATTTTAGTTAAAACACTAAACAGATGAACTCAAAACTGTTAGATGACCAACTGGGAGTCTAGACACAATGCACAAATAATGTATAACACTTGCTAACAAATGTGGCTATTACGTTATACAAATTTTTTTTTTAAATTTTATTTATGTGTGTGTGTGTGTGTGGACTGCTCAGCCCACCAGGGGCAGGGCTGACTGGCATGTGGTGCTGGGGGATTGAACCGTGGTCCCTGTGCTTTGCTAAACTTGTTCTAAGTAGGTGCTTTAGACCACTGAGCCATCTCACCAGCCCCTGTTATACGAATTTTCATGTGGTAGTGGATGTACTACTTAATATAGTCATGTGAAATGAGCATTTTTTCTGAACTTTGATTTTTGTTTGTGTGGGCCACAATTCTTAACAGTCATCATTTTTGTTGCCACTCCTATTTCTTTTTTTTTTTTTTTTGCGGAATTGAGGATTGAACTCAGGCCCTGTGCTTGCCAGGGAAACGCTTATTCCACTGAGCCATTTCCCCAGCCCCCGACACTCCTATTTCTTAAGACTTCAATTAATACTGATTTAATGGAAACTTTCTAAGTGCTAGCCTGTGAAAGATTGTGGTTTGAAGAATTGGTGGGATAAAATTACTGACAATTGTGTTCCCAGTGCACCAGGAATAGTCTACATGGACAAGAAGTGCTCTTTTTAAAAAATTTCCAAAGTGCTCACATCTGCCTGGCAAGTACAAATTCATGAGTTTGATTCCCAATACCAAAAAAATAAAAAAGTACTTACTCATTTAAGGAACACTCCATTGTTGACGTGAGATAGGACCAACAGTTTTATAGGAAATGGAGTTGCAAGAAATTAAGGATAGAATTTGGGCTTGGGTTTGGAATTATGATGTGCCAGATGATATATCTGATGTGTAGTTTTATACATAAGACTATGGTACATGATTAGAAAGACAACAACCCAGTCTTATTTTCAGGGAAATACGATTAAAAAAAATAGTAGGCAAGAATAGGGAAATGGGCCAGGGATACAGCGCAGTGGCACAGCACCTGCTTGGTGGTCTGAGTTTGATTCTTGGTTAAAAAACAGAACCAAAAAAAAAAAACCAAATAGGAAACAAATTAGATTGGGGAAGGGCTATTTAACATTTCATAACCCTTTGTTAAAAGAGGATTGCTGTGAGTTTGAGTCCAATCTGGGCTGTGAGTTCAAAGCCAACCTGAACTACATAGCAAGAACCTGTCTCAAATAAATAAATAAATAAATAAATAAAAAAGGGAGGGGGAGATAGCTCAGAATAAGCGCTTACCTGGCAAACACAAGGGCCTGAGTTCAATTGCTGGTTGTGGGGTGCGGGGAATCACCTGAGGTTGGGGCAAGTATGTTTGTTTCTTTTTCTGTATTTAGGACAGGGTCTACAGGGTCTCACTGTATAATTGGACTCTTAGTGATACTCCTGTTTTCACCTTCCCTAAGTGCTGGGATTACAGGCAGTGTGCCACTGTACCCAGTCTCAATCTCAATGGCCCTCTCAGTTTGCCCCAGGCGCAGGGCTGCTTGGCTGGCTGGGATGGAGCCCAGGCCGCTGCGCTCTAAGCAGCTGCTTTAGTCCACTGAGCTATCGCTAGAGATGGCCAAAGCAAATGTTTTTCGAGATTTCCCACGGTTCCGCGGGGCGCTGGTCCTTCTGCCAGCAACCATCGAAGAACAGCAGCCTTGGCCTTCTGCTATCCCATGGCTATGGGCCTCAACATGGGCCACAAGGTGACTAAGGAGGGCCGGGGAGATGGTTCAGTAGAATAAGCACTTCTCTGGCAAGCACAAGGGCCTGAGTTCAATCCTCAGTTCCGCAAAAAAAAAAAAAAAGGTGACTAAGAATGTAAGTAAACCAAGGCACAGCTGCCTCCCCAAACACACCAAGTTCATCCAGGAGGTACACAGCTTCATCCCCTACGAGCGGCACACCATGGAGCTGCTCATGATCGCCAGTGACAAACGCGCCCAAAAGTTCATCAAGAAAAGGCTAGGGACTCATGGATGCAAGAGAAAGCTTGAGCTGAGCAACTTGCTGGCTGCCATGCTGAAGGCAGCTACTAAGACTAAGTTCCTCTGGAAAAAAGCTTTGCAGAGTTTAAAAAAAAAAAATTATGTTTCTTGAGAAGACTCTTCTGCCATGGACAAAAAGTCACAAGATAAAAAATGGAAAAGGGTTCATAGTGAGACCCTGCCTCAAGTGTGGAAACGTGACTTTGTGCCTGTAAGGCAAGAACTCCACACTGAGCCACATCTCCAGCTCCTGTTGGTTTTCATTTGCCACACATACCAGTTACTCTGGAACTAGAAACATCCGTCAAGTAGGTTGGAGTTAAGAGGCAAATGTAAAGTTTTGGTTTTCATGTTAAAAATCGTGTAAAAAGGGGCTGGTGAGATGGCTCAGTGGTCTAAAGCACCTACTTAGAACAAGCTAAGCTAAGCAAAAGCACAGGGACTGTGGTTCAATCCCCAGCACCACATGCCAGCCAGCCCCACCCCCGGGTGGGCTGAACTGGCCACACACACTAAATAAAAATAAAATCGTGTAAAAAGATTTTTTTTCTTTTTGTGGAACCAGGGATTGAACTCAGATCCTTGCGTTTGCCAGTCAAGCGCTTATCCTACTGAGCCATCTCCCTGGCCCCCAAAAAGATTTTTTTTTCATTGGAGAGATCTCACTAGTTGAAGTTGGCCTTGAACTCAAGTGATCTCAAAAACAAAAGCTTGGGGCTGGGGAGATGGCTCAGTAGAATAAGAGTGAGTTCAATCCCTAGTTCCGCCAAAAAAACCCCCAAAAACCAAAAAACAAAAAAAGCCTTCGAAGCAGTTTCTTTTTCATACTGGGAATCAAACTCAGATCCTGTACTCTTCAGGCAGGTGCTGTGCCTCGAGTTACGTTCCTGGCCTCCAGAATAGTATACCCTACTCAGTGTATGGGTATTATCTAACTGGGTCAAGGGTCCAAACAAAATATAAAAAAGCAAAGTTAAGTTGAAATTCTCTGTTTATCTGAAGCATAGGGTTTAAACCTTTGGTGTTTCAATCTTTAGCCAGTAGGGTATCTCAGGTTCCATAATTGTTAGCTAATTACTTCTAGTGAATCTTACTCTAAATTATCTCTGGGGAATCCTAAACCGTTAGTGTAGCTTCATAGTTAGGTATTCACTCGTACAGCTTGAGACCGTTGTCAGGGTTTCCTGTCCAAACAGCTTTTATCTCTTGCTCAGGATGCTTGGTTCCTCAGATATTGAAGATAAGCTTGGACTAATATATTCTGCTTCTCAATTTGGGTACCTGGAATCTTAGAGGATGTTTTTAAGTAGCCATAGTACATCAAGTTCACATGGCTAAAAATGAATTTAGTTTTTATTTTTCACATAAATCCTTTTTTTTTTTTTTTTTTTTTTGTGATACCGAGGATTGAACTCAGGACCCTGCACTTGCTAGACAAGCACTTAATTCTACTGAGCTATCTCCCTAGCCCCGTAAGACACTTTCATGGGAGTATTAATACCAGGAATGTCTTTTTTGCTTTTTTTTTTTGTGTAGCTGAGGATTGCATAGCTCAGGCCCTTGCGCTTGCCAGGCAAGCGCTTGTTCTATTAAGCTATCTCCGCAGCCCCAATACCAGGAATGTCATTACCATACATGTGAACCACTTTTTCATAGAGCATCAAACTACTTAGGATGACCTTAAGAAATAGGAACTGCATTTGTAAATACTATTACAATGCCAGTCTAAGCCAATGGAGGGAATGTCCATGAAACATGAAAGGAAGTCTACAGGAAGTCTTGGGAAATACCTAGTCATTTCATGGGACATAATGGTGTGGTCACCCTTTCTACCTTAAGGCATCAACACTACTTGAGAAAACTGGGAGGGACATATAAAGAATTGAGATGCCTTATGTATATATACAAACTCCTTCCATAACAAATACTATGTAACTATATATTTTTTTTATTTTTTCATTTTTTGGAGGAACGGGGGATTGAATTCAGGTCCTGCGCTTGCTAGGCAAGTGCTTATTCTACTGAGCTATCTCCCCCACCCCTTGTAACTGTAAATACTAATAATAAATTTTGAAAGAAAAATTTAGGTAAGCCAAGGAATTAAAATTGAGTCACTGAATCATATCTTGGAACTTATTACTAGCTGAAATCTTACTAGAAGACAGTTCTACTTTGATTTTGCTGTAGTTGAAAGCAACCTGCAAATGACAGCCTTTATTTAGGTTTTCATGCTAAATAAAATCTTGTAACCAGATTTATTATATTTTTGGAGATAGGATCTTACTATGTAGTCAAAGTTGGCCTTAAACTCTGTGATCCTCCTGCCTCAGCATTTCAAGTGCTGGGACTACAGACCTGCACCACCATTTTTGGTCTTGTAACCAGATTTGTGTATGATGGCACATAGTACTAGTCCTAAATCTTGCACTTTGGCAGTAGTTTAGTCCTTCAAGCAAATTGCCTCACCCTTCATAAACAAAAGAGATTGAGGTGCTTTTCATTTTTATTTTTTAAAAAAACCCAGAATGGATCAAAAAGAATCAAGGTGCCAGACATAGGCCAGTGGACAGCTAAAAAAAAGTATGCCTTAAAACATCAGGGACTTCATCAGTGCCTAACAAAGTTTAATTTTCTATTGACCTAGCTTCCTTTGCCCTATCCACACGGCACAGGTAGGTGGCTTCTTTGCAAGGCCTCAGCTGAAGGATCCTGTGTACATACAAGTTCATTCCTTACAGTAGTATTCTGGGCCAACAAGGATCTTCAACCCCGTCTGGCCTCCTTCCAGGTCCACCGTCCATTTCTTCTACTGCATGTGAGATGGTTTCGTCCCTCAAAAATATGACTCCTCCAGCAAAAATCAATGCTAAGTCATTATAATAATCAGTAATAATTTGTCCTATTCCCCTTTTACATGCAACTGAAAAATGACAGGCTAGGGACAGAACACTGAACTCTGTACTGTTCGATTACCCATTAAATGATCATTCACTAACAGTCACTACATTTACATATTAGGGAAATTATATATAGAATACTGCAAAAACACAGTAAAAAGACTGAAGTTTCCTCATTTCTGCTCAGGAAGTCCCTCTACTCCCAAGCTTCATAGTATGCTGTCCTTTTGACTCCAAAATGTACTGCTATTACTGTTTCTCTTCCTTTTGATCTTCCTTTTGTTCCCCAGTGCCAGAACTTCCAGAGCCTTCTCTTTCAGATGCCATCTGTTAAAACATTTGAGAATCACACACTTAATACTAAGCAATAGTTGGCTCTCTGTTTAACATCAAAACATAGAAGCAATATACCCAATCTTTTGTCCTCATCCCCCACACCCCACTCCCTGGCTCTGTAGTATTGACATTACCTGGGCTAACTTCTGTTGACACTCTGCTCCTTTTTTTCCCCCAAGGTTAAATATTTTTTTTATCTGGTATTATATATACATACAACACACTAGAATACCTTTTTAATGTGTAAGTAAAAGGCACCACTTGTTAGATACAGGGAATTCTAATTAAATTGGCACAGTCAAGACCGAAAACATAGATGTGTCTTGCTTGGTTTTGAGACAATGAAGGATTCTCCTAGTATTTAAACATATTCATATAGGGGCCGGGGAGATGGCTTAGTGGAATAAGCGCTTCTCTGGCAAGCGCAAGGGCCTGAGTTCAATCCCTGGTTCCGCGCCCACCCCCCAAAAAAATTATTTTTGAGATTACATTCTCAATTTTTGTGAAAAGTCAAACATTACTAATGAAGTCTAACCATGTATTTAGAAAGGGAAAACAGTGGTATTTATTGAACTGGAATTACTATCTAAACTTGAAAAAAAAAAGAGATCCCCCCCCCTTTTTTTTTTTTTTTTTGCAATACTGGGGATTAAACTCAGGACCTTGTGCAAAATATCCATTTAACTACAACACAATTTTACTTAAATTAGGACTATCCAACAAAAATATTGTCAGCCACTAATGATCTAAATTCTGGTGTATGAAATCTATTAAATTATGGCACACATACAAAAGCCATGAGACATTTCTGTTCTGTAATAAGCAAGGCAGAGTCTATTACTCATTATTGGCCTTTTCCCTCCCCAACCCCCCCGCATTTAATACAGGGTCTATAGGGTCTCACTACAGATAGGACTCATAGTGATTCTGTTTTCAGCCTCCCAAGTGCTGGGATTACAGGTGCATGCCACCTTACTATCTAGTCTCGATAGCCATCTCAGCTCCTCCCAGTGGTGGGGCCCAGCATAGCACACTGGGGCTTGAACCATGGCCCGAGTCTTGCCTAAGCAGGTGCTTTAATCTGCTGAGCTATCTGGCTGGTCATAAGTCTGCCCTTTCTCCTCCCTTCTTGATGCCAGCAAAGATCATTTTTGTTCTAGGAATGTACTTCTTGGGATTCTCCAAATACTCCATCAATGTATCCTGTCCCCAGGTGATACTTTTGTTCTTGTTGCATCTGTGTAAGAGAATAAAACAGCCTGACCTGTCCTCCACCCATAGAGACCATGAAGATTTGACCCAATATTGTGCTTGTCTCTCTTCTCAAAAGTGTGGCATTGGGCACATTTCTGTACAAAAATTTTCTTACCTTTTTCAAAATCACTCTTTTTTTTTTTTTTTTTTTTTTTTTGTGGCCATGTTGGGCTGATGTGACGTGTTGGGGATCGAGCTGTGGTCCCTGTGCATGCCTAAGCAGGCAATTTAGACCACTGAGCTATCTCACCAGCCCATCAACATGATCCATTTTTAAATTAAGCCTGCTGCAGGTTCCACATCAGGTGGTCACCACTCTTTGCTTGTTACTGCAAATTCCAGTTCAGAAGCCTGATGGCCTACTCTAGTCTTCTAACTCTTAAATCTCTTAATTCTATAACTATGGAAGGAGTCTGAGCCATTAGTGACATTAGGAACAATTACAACAAAACAAATTTCAACTAGCACCAACACACCCTTCAGCTTTGTACCTTTTTGTATGCCATCTCGAAGAGCTTCAGTGATGCCTGCTGGAGAGAGGAAGCTGCCTGCCTGATGTTTTCTCCTGTTTCACTGTCTTTTCGAGCCAGGAGCTCCCGCATTTTGGAAATCTCTTCCTTCAGCTTGTTGCACTTAAAACAAAACAAAGAAACTCACTTTTCCAAATCTATCTCATTACATGTATGTACGTATGTATATATGTATTTATTTATTGGAACCGGGGATTGAACTCAGGCCCTTGTGCTTGCCAGGGAAGCACTTATTCCACTGAGCCATCTCCCCGGCCCCCTATCTCATTACATGTAGCAGTTAATATTCAAAATCATGTTTTAGAACTTAAATTTTTTTTTGTAACCACTTTTTTTCCCCATAATTTTATTGAGAAACAAATAGCAATGAGACAGTTTCAGATCAAATTGGTAGGACAGTTTCAATAATTAACACATTGCATACTCTCTTCCTAGTGGTTATTTGCTGTACAAGAACTTGAATTCTTATATCAAAATCAACACAAAAATGAATTTAACTGGTTTCTAATTTCCTGAGTTTTAAAACTCACCTCATCAGCAGGCAGTTGGTCCTTGAACTCTTCCATCTTTGTTTCTGTGTCATGAATTATTCCTTCAGCCATATTAACTGCTTCAACTCGTTCCTTGGAAAAATCAGAAATTTAATGTAAGTAACCTTGCAATCAACCAAAGTTTGGTCAATGTCTACACAGAGTAAGACAATGAGCTATGTGCTGCACAAGGTAAAATTAGTGAGAATGAAGAAAAAAAAAATCACTGGTTTGAGGTTATATGGGATAGCTTTGAGCGGGGGTCTATAAATGTGCAAACACTAAAAAACATTCTAAGCCAGGGTTGTGTTGCACTTGGGAGGCTAGAGCGGAAAGATCACTTGAGCACAGGACAGCCTCACCAACATAAATCTGTCTCAGAAGAGAAGCAAAGGGGAGAGAAGGATAAATTGGTAGAAAATCTGAAGATAGTACCATATCCAAATTTCAATTTCATTTCCCAGCTTTACTAAGATTACAAAACTCATGAGAAGCAAAATTACCTTCTTTCGCCTGTCTTCCTCAGCATACTTCTCTGCATTTTTAACCATATTTTCAATATCATCTTTGCTTAACCCACCAGAAGACTGGATTACAACTGTAAAAAAAAAAAAAAAAAAGCCACTTCATTAGTTTTTAGAAAAGACGGCGATAAACTGGGCTGTCTACTGAAAATTCAATCCAGACGCTTTTTTTTGGCTTGTATATAAACATCACTTATAAAAAGCAAATCTGGGGCCGGGGAGATGGCTCAGTGGAATAAGCACTTCCCTGGCAAGCGCAAGGGCCTGAGTTCAATCCCCAGTTCCACCAAAAAAAAAAAAAAAAAAAAAAAAAGCAAATCTGGCAACCAAAAAGAATCAAAGTAAAATCCCCATCTCAGAATGGATATACCACAAAAAGCTCTCTTTTCCAAAAGGGATCTTTCTTTAAAAAGACTTACTCTGCTGCTCACGTCCTGTACCCTTATCTTTGGCAGAAACATGTACAATTCCATTGGCATCAATGTCAAATGTAACTTCAATCTGAGGCACTCCACGAGGGGCTGGAGGGATACCAACCTAAAATAAATAAATATAATGAGTTAGCCACTTGTCAGAGGGACCCTATGCCATTACTTTGTCAAGTAAACAAATCACTTCCTAGGAAAAACAAGTGATATTTTCACATTTTCATTTAATATACAAAAATACAAGTTTGTAAGGCTAGTAGTTTCAAGGCTGCCTGACATCAACAGGGATCATACTAGTGAAGGAAACCTAGTGACCATGATATCATAAACCCCCAGTGAAATCACCCCAGTACAGTTCTCAACACCAAGAACCATTAAGCAGTGCTGATCAGAAGTACCACAATCTTTTAAATGAGCAATCAAAAGAATATTCCTGAACCGGCATTGTTTCTGAGCATCTAGAAATTTCTTGATGAAATTCTTAAAAGCATAAGGCATAAACTTTTCATGTAAAACCGAAGCCAAAAATTCATCTGCGTAACTTTTTAGAGTAACACAGTATGCATAATATGTATACCAGCAATCTATAGGTGTCGGAATAATGTCTAACTATACAATAATGAGCTTGTGGAACAATACCCTAAAATTCACAATACCTACCAAAGTAAACTGCCCAAGAAGCTTGTTGTCTCCAGCCATCTCTCTCTCACCCTGACACACTTTAATCTCCACTTGAGTTTGGCCATCAGCAGCGGTAGAGAAAACCTGAGGAGAAAATCTTACTGTATTGGTAATCTGATCAAACTATTATCTTTTTTTTTTTTTTTTGCGGGGGGGGGGGGCACGGAACCAGGGATTGAACTCAGGCCCTTGCCAGGCAAGCACTTATTCTACTGAGCTATTTCCCTGGCCCCTAAACTATTCTCCTTACAAAGAAAAGTGAACCAGAAAAATGTTCAGATCCCAACACTGAAAAGGTCCTAATGTACATTATATTCAAAACAAAGCCTTATGTCAGGGACTAGGAGTAGGATTAGCGCAGCAAAAAGGCATACAATAGCTGTTGCTTCAATTAAGCAATTAAACACAAAAGATGTGGCATATGCACAAATAGGTCCAAAAAGAAGAACGAAAATGTTGACGCATAATCTGGGGAAACAAGATCAAGCAGCAAATGTATTTTGTGCTCAGTCACAGAAGTCATCACAATTTTCTCTCAGAATGATGTGTTGACAAATATACATCATTGCACAAACATAACTATAGCCAACATACAGGAAAATGTCAGGATTAAGAAGATCATCATGGGCTGGTGAGATGGCTCAGTGGTCTAAAGCACCTACTTAGAACAAGCTTAACAAACCAGAGGGACCACGGTTCAATCCCCCAGCACCACATGCCAGCCAGCCTTGCCTCTTGGTGGGCTGAGCTGGCCACACACACATACACACAAATAAATAAATTTAAAAAAAAAGATCATCATGAAATAATTTCTGATCTAAGCTCAAAACAGCCCTCAGTATCTCAGTACCCTAACCAACCCCATCATTTCTCAGATGACAGGCACAGCCCTACTGCTCCAAGTAGGCTTTTCTGCATCACTGTACACAAAGGAACACTTTTAGGGGGCCAGTGATACAGCTCAATGGCACAGCACCTGCCCGGCACACATGAGGTCCTGAGTTTGATTCCTGGTACCAAAAAACCCAAAACCAAATATTCTTCTAGGAGCAACAATAATAAAAGACAAGATTCTCAGCCAGGTGTAGTGGTACATGTCTGTAATCCCAGCCCTTAAGAGGCTGAAGTAGGATTGCCACAAATGAGGCTGTCCTGTGCTACACCTACATAGTGAGTTCAAGGCTAGTCTGAACTACATAGCAAGACCCTATTCCAAAAAATCAAAAATCAGGTAAGATTCTCACTGCCCAGTCAACCAGTAGACTGCAAACATAATTTACTGGGCCGGGGAGATGGCTCAGTACAGTAAGTGCTTGCCTGGCAAGCACAAGGGCCTGGGTTCAATCCCGAGTTCCACCAAAAAACAAAAACTAAACAAAACATAATTTACTTGTGTTTTTCGTTTTTGAGACAGGCTGACCTTCAACTCATGGTTGTCTTCCTCCCTTAGCCTCTGGCGTGCTGGGATTACAGGCATATGTCACATCACCATGTCTGCAATCAGACCACTCACAGACCTTAATACTTATATGATAAAGTAAGGCACAGGAAATAGTGGCATTGTTACCTGGCTCTTCTTGGTTGGAATAGTGGTATTCCTGTTAATAAGTTTGGTAAAGACACCTCCCAGAGTCTCAATACCCAAAGACAAAGGAGTGACATCCAGAAGCAGCACATCTGTGACATCACCAGCCAGCACACCTCCCTGAATTGCAGCTCCAATGGCTACAGCCTCATCAGGATTGACAGCTTTACTTGGAGCTCGGCCAAAAAGATCTTGTACAGTCTGCTGAACCTGAGTGTTAAGGAGAAAAAATCTGTAATTCAACATTCAGGACCAAACTGCCTAAGGACAGATAGCATGTCCTAAGACCAGTGAGATTTGAAATCAGGCTAGTTCATATCCAAAAAATGTTTATACTTTTATTTCATAGTGAAAATCTTACTGGCGTGAAAACACATGCTGTAATCACTGCCCTTTTAAATTTGGAAAGCATATAAGTTTTTTTACTTTTAAAGTTTACAAGAGGACATACATTTTGTAGCCCAAGTCGTGTTCTAAACATCCACAACTGATAGCCAAATTTTAAAGGAGGCAGCAGAAATAATTCAATACTGTTGGGCTAGTATGGGGCATGTTCTTCCATTCTATTTATTAGCACTAAAGTGCTAGTTAGCATTCTGGATGTTATCCTAATTTGTCCTCTTGACCCGGAGCCTTTTATCCCAGGTTTGTTCTGGGAGCATTTTCCCATGCATTTCAATGGAACCTAAAATATCAAAGCCACTGACTGAGGCCCAAGATAATTCTACTCAAGCTGCCACAAAGAAATCCATCTTCAACAAGTCTGTGCTCAGTCATTAGTTTTCACACATCTGTACTTTTCAGAATGATGTGCTGAATAAAATGCATCATTGCACAAATCTTTGTTGAAGATAGGCAAAAAGAAACTGCAAGCACTAGGCTATGTTAGTATAGATTTTATTTTCTCTAACCTCGCGCTGTTTTCATTCCTAAAATTGTACAAGACTTGAGTTCAGAATGCTTTCTGTTAATGCCTACAAAGATATTCTGACTCACCTAAATCCTTTTTCTTATACCTTTCATTAGAAGAGTAAAACAGCTAAAAACTAGTGAGAACACACTCTTACCATTTTTTTTAAAAAGTCACCCTTGAAAAATGGATCAAATGTTTACCCACATACCACATAAATCATCTGTATGGTTTTCTCTTTTCTCCCTGATAAAAATTCTGTAAGCCTTACCTTGGGCATCCTAGTCATGCCACCAACAAGAATCACTTCTCCTATGTCACTCTTGCTGACTTCTGCATCCTGCATAGCTTTCTGGCATGGAGCAATAGTCCTCTTGATTAGATCAGTGACAATCCCCTCAAACTGTGCTCGGGTCAGCTTCATATTCAAATGTTTGGGCCCAGAAGCATCCATTGTAAGGTATGGCAAGTTAATGTCAGTCTGAAAACAATATTTAAATGCATGTGAGTAGGGAAACTAGTAAAATATGTATATGGCCCATAGATATTAACCACTTACCAGTATAATCATTTAAGTATAGGATGACCGAAAACTTTATTTTGGGGTTAATTTTTGTAAAATAATAGAATAGAGGGCTGGGGAGATAGCTCAGTAGAATAGGCACTTGCCTGGCAAACACAAGGTCCTGAGTTCAGTCCTCGGTACCAAAAAAAAAAAAAAAAAAAAAAAAACCACGAAATATAAAAATGACAACTTTATGAATACAAAAATCAACTGGTTGAAATGACACTGGCCTAAGCAATGACTGGATAGTCAGTAATGTAAGCACATGTTGCCCCAGTGATAGGAGTAGACTAGTAAGTGGAGTAGAAAAGGAGGGGAGTAAATTCTTATTCAAGAGATGAGCTGTTCGACATGGTTTTTTTTGGCAGAACTGGGGATTGAACTCAGGCCCTTACATTTGCCAGGAAGCGCTTATTCCACTGAGCCATCTCCCTGGCCCCTCGACATTTAATACTAAGAATTATACTACCGTTTTCCTTCACAAAGGTTTAAAAAAAAAAAAAAAAAAGCCATATATGTAAAGGAAAAATTTTAAAGTAGGTCTTCATTCAAAAAACCCAATACCAGTCCTAGGCATTATCTATTCCGGGAAGTTTACAAATTTAGGAAAGCTACACAAGTACTCTCTGAACTTATTAGATGTACATAAACTAGTACTACCATAACATCCACAGAAAGCTAATGGTGCTGGGCATGGTGGCACATGCCTGTAATCCCAGCATTTGGGAAGCTGAGGCAGGAAGATTGTTGAGTTTGAAATCTGCCTGGGATACAAAGTGAGCTCAATGCCAAACTAAACTGCATACCAAGACCCTGTCTCAAAGACATAATTTTTTTTTTAAAAAAGGCGACTAATGGTCCCTCTATGCAACATCCAGTATATTTAATAAATCCTAAATCCTGATATGACATGGGATTTTATGTGTGACTGAGAGTAACAATTCCCAAAGTATTGTTATAAAAAATGTCATTTTCTTTCTTGTGATTATAAACCTAATTCTGTCTTTTTATCAGTCATTACATTTATAGTCATTTATTCACTGTATATTACCCTAAGAAAATTAATTTGGTAATTATAACTCCTATGAGGAAGGTACAATTATTACTCTTTCTTTGAAGCTAAGAACACATAAATAGAGTGATTCATAAGATCACAGTTCATTATATTTCACAGTTCATTACATAAGGAACTCTAGCAGTTTGTCCGCAGATCTGTTTTTCAGTGTTGGAAAGTGGAATCAGGGCCTCATGTGTGCTACCAGTGAGCTACACCTCCAACCCCTGAGAAACAACATTCTTTGCTTTTTTTTTTTTTTTTTTTGCGGAACCAGGGATTGAACTCGGGCCCTTGCGCTTGCCAGGCAAGTGCCTATTCTACTGAGCCATCTCCCCAGCCCCAGAAACAACATTCTTAACCTCAATTTTGTATCTCTTTTATTAATTAATGTACATCTTCCTAAATCTCAGGTTCTAGACTGTGACTGAAATTACTAAATGAAGAGACATTTAAGAGATTCGCAAGGAGGTATATTCAATTAATGCAGATAAGTTTTCTAAGCTAGTAATTCCAATTTTCTGCATGGTTAGATTTGTTTGGTACAGAGGATTGAACTCATGACCCCATAACATACTAAGCAAACACTACCTCTGACCTATATCCAAAGCCCTAGACTAGGTTTTTAAGTTGGGCTGTGGGGGGATATAATTCAGCACAAGGCCCACGTTGATTCCCAGCGCCAAAAATAAATGTTTTTTTGAGTGCTGGAAATCAATCCAGGACCTTGCATGTGCTAGGCAAACTCTACTACTTATATACTCAGCCCTGTAAGAATCTCTGATTTTGGTGTTTAAATATGAACAAATAACTACATTACTATTCCTTTACTCTCATGGCAAAGGTTCTTACTAAACTACAAAATCAAAAGGATACACTATCATGAGACCAGCTAGAATAGGCCATTTAAAAAAAAAAAAAAAAATCAACTCAGGCTAAAAATAAAATATCCATCAAGGCTGCTGGGAGTGTTCGGTGTCTTACCTGCACAGATGAGGAGAGTTCACACTTAGCCTTCTCAGCCGCTTCCCGCACTCTTTGAAGCGCCATGTTGTCTTTGGTCAAATCAACCCCTGTCTACACAAAGTAAACACACACAATACTGGTAATCACTGTGATGATTAAGTGTTATTTAAATTGCAGTAACAAGGCTAAGTTAACAAGAGCACAAAATAAAGCCTTCAGTTTTAAAAATCTAGAGGGGAGCCAGGAATATAGTAACTCAGTAGCACAGCACATGCTTGGCAAACGAGAGGTCCTGAACTCCATTCCCAGTACCCCACCCCCAAAAAAGAAAAAAATCTATCCAGAAGCCAGGTGTAGTGGCACATGCCTATAACTCCAACACTTGGGAGGCTGAAGGAGGAGGACTGCTATGAATTTGAGGCTAGCCTGAGCCATCCTGGAGTACATAGTGAACGCAAGACCAGCCTAACTATAGTATGAGACCCTGTCTCAAAAAATTAAAACAAAACAAAACCCTGTATTTCACATTTTTAAAACATATGTAGGGGGCTGGTGAGATGGCTCAGGGGTCTAAAGCACCTGCTTAGAACAAGCTTAGCAAAGCACAGGGACCGCAGTTCAATCCCCCATGCCAGCCAGCCCCGCCCCCTGGTGGGCTGAGCTGGCCACACACACACACACACACACACAAATAAAATTTAAAAAAAAAAAACATGTATCTGCCTAGAATCTGACAACTGAACTGGCAGCTCTTTTCAGCTTTAAGATTCTAGTTAAAAGAGGAAAAAGATGATTTCACAATTTCTTTTCCAATATTATTATTTTTTTTTTAAATTTGTGTGTGTGTGTGTGTGTGTGTGTGTGTGTGGCCAGCTCAGCCC